GAGCGCCCTTTGTTAATAATATCGCAAGCTGCCGAGTTATCTGAGTAGCATTTTACTGCCTTGCCGGACCAGAGATGACCCCAGGTGTGTGCGGCCGCCACAATGGGGTAAATTTCAAATAGGGTTGAGGTCTCCCTGAATCCTGGCAAGGCATCCGTCTCAGTGGGCCAGTGGCCCCTAAACCAGTGGTTCCCGAAAATGGCTGCGAAACCGGTGTTGGCTGCTGCGTCTGTGTGGATGATGGGTGAAGAGGTGGAGAGAGGGGGATAAACATGGAGATACCATTCCAGTCTTTCAAAAACTTCCCCCACATAGCCAAGTCAGCCTTGGCGTGGGGGTCCAAAGAAACTGTGCCGGAGTCAGGGACTCCATGGAGCAGGCAAAGAAGTCTGGAAATAAAAGACCTTCCCTGCGGAATGATGCGCATGGCGAAGTTCAGAGATCCAAGAAGGGACTGAAGTTCTCTCCTGGTGCAAACGTCATTCCGCAGGAACGTGTCTATCTCCCCTCTCAATCGTGAAAGTTTGTCGTGTGGAAGGCTAGCTCTGAGTTTGACAGAATCGAGCTCTATGCCTAAAAAGGTCAACTTTGTAGTGGGTCCTATAGTTTTGGCTGGGGACAAAGGGACTCCAAGTGTGGAAAAAAGTGCGGTAGTACTATTGATTGCTGTGGGTGTTGATGACCCTGGCTCTATGAGTAGAAAGTCATCTAGATAGTGAATAACGGAGTGACACCTGATGACATTCAGAAGCAGCCAGCATAGTGACTCAGCGAAAATGTCGAAAAGTTTGGGGCTGCTTCGGGAACCAAAAGTGAGTCGTGTTGAGAAGTAATAATACCCTCGCCATTTAACACCGTGTAAGTGCCAGAGTGAGGGGTGTATGGGCAGTAATTTAAAGGCGTTAGTGATGTCTGTTTTGCTGAGCCAGGGTCGATTACCAGATGTCATGATAGACTGTATGGCGTCGTCGATGGTGACGTACTGCAGAGAGAATTCGTCTGCTGGAATGAGTGCGTTTATGCTTGGAACAAAAGAGGAGTGCGGTGCCGATAAATCGATAATGAGACGTTTTTTATTAGAATATTTGTGAATAGCAATACCAATAGGGTTAGTGCGCCAGGAGGAAAACGGTGAAGAGGTGAAAGGACCGATCATGAAACCGTTGTGGTTTCTGCGGAAATGAGAGTGTCTACAGCGACTGGGTCTAAACGTGCAGACTGGAGATTAGGACATTCTAGTGTACCTGGGGGAATGGCTATTATGCCTGTGTGAAACCCTTGTGAAAAACCTGTGGTGAGAAAATCCACTAAGTGCCTGCTGGGGTGACACCTTAGATAAAAAACCAGGTTGTCGATATTTATGTCGGTTAGTCATTTGTTTGGTGACAACCTGGCTGGACACATGGTCTTGGTATGTGCCCTGAAACATATGGAGCAGATGTGCAATAATCTACAGGCGCTGAAACTGCAGGAGCCTGCGTTGAAATTATTGCACACCTGTGCTTTACCTAAAAAGGAGATGGGCCTACCCAGCTTATCCCGGAGACCACCCGCTGGCTTGTGAGGGGTGAAAGAGGAGTGAGGTGTGAACGTGGGGTGAGGGGTGAGAGTGGAGGTGGTGGGATCTGGTTCGACGGGACATAAGTCCGCCATGTGGGATGTGGAATTACAGATGGCACAAGCCGGGGGCCTGAGTCCAGCGAAGTGGCGACAGAAAAGTTCAGTGTCCATCTGACCCCAGTTCATTCTAATGTTGAACTGCTTGAGATGGGTCGCCGCCTTCGCTGAGACTGACTTGTGGTAGTCATAGAAGGAAGAGCCCCCGTACTTGATGCCTAGATCCACTACCTTGTGGAGATAGAGATCTAGCTCTTCTCTCCTATGGGGATACACCGTGCAAATGACGTCGCGGTATATCCCGAAAGCTATCACAAACTGTGGGATAGACAATTTTTTATTAAGCCTGGGATCCCTCGTTTTAAGCACAACAGAGATGTCACCATAATTGTATGCCTTGTTCTCGAGTACATCCTGAGAGGCTATGAGTAAAGACACCAGACACACATCCTTCCCGTCAAGGATATCTTTCCTGATAGAATCTGGGACGGAGTGTGCTGGTGACTCGAAAGGTGTGATGGCTGTGCCAGGTGCTGGAGGGGGGAGTATAGAGGGACATGAAGGTATGGCAGGTACAGCCGTGGTAGAGACTGGGACTACGGTGTTAGTACCTGAGGAGGAGATGGCGCTCTCCACCTTAGACAGCCTGCTATTGAGGGCCTGTAGATCGGCCAAGATATCTGCCAGGGTATCCTGGGTGGCCGTGATATCTGCCAGGGTATCCTGGTGGTTGTCCTTGAGAGCTAGTTCCCGGCCGAGGCTCGGGGACTTGGTGGGTAAGCAGCCTGTAAAGTTCTGCCTTTCTAGCTGTGGCCGGAAAAGGGATTCCCCTGAGCCTAAGCTCGGCTGTGATTTTGGGAATAGTCCATGCTCTCAAGGACGTGGGGGTTAAAAGAGTGAGTGATTCGCCTGGAGACACGGGTCTGATTGGCGTGAATGGTGCTTCTTCTGTCAGTTCTTTGGTTGGAATTGGTTCTTGGGACATTCTAAAAGGAATGATTATGTGAAAGATATATTAGAAGGGGAGTGAGGTAAGAAGGGGGGGTATGGGGAGTGGTGTGTCTTGAAGAACTGGACTTTAATGCTAGATGCTGAGGTGAAAAACTTAACTATTGAATGACTGGATAGGTGAGGCCCTGCTAATGCCAAGTGGCGATGAGAGTCTCTACCTATGATTTGGCTTATGACGTAGGTGCCACAGACGTGGTGACGATAAGAGAAATCAAAACGTGTGGCCGTGACAGGTGAGGCCCTAACTAGAGCCCTGTAGTAAGGCATGCGAGGCTTATAACTATGATTTGGGCGTGGGGCCGTACCTCCGTGTTGAGGTGGGGTGGGGGTGGTAGGCCTCGCGGGATCAGATTTCCTGATAGGGTGGGCTAAGGCATTAGCCTGTGCCGTATAGCCAGTTCGATAGTATGCTAAAGTGTAAAGTTAGAGGACTGGAATGGTGTGTGGATACTAACCTTGACTGGTCGCAAATGGTATCTGGAGCCTCCTGGTAAGTGTAGAGAGTCTTGTCTTAAATGTTGTCTTTGAGGAAGAATCCTGGGGGTTTAAGACAGATGTTGATGTGTTTATACGTATCGTGATGTCGTATGAATAGTATAGGGAGAAGGTTTGTTAGGGGCACGACGTGAGATCCTGCATTGAGGGATCTGGGAGGTTTAGGTGTAGGAATGGGATGATTTTGGATATGAGTGAGAAGGCAGAATGAGGCCTTGGGGTAGCGAATGGACGTACTTGAGTAAGGATGTAAGTACCTGAAGGTATGGCTGAGTACCGGGTCAGGTTTTTGGTGTCTTCTTGAGCCTGGTGGCCGTATGACCGAAAGTCTGTGTAGACAAGTAGTAAAGAGATAACGTATCCTGGGCGTAAGCCTGAGGGAAGGTAGTAATGGAGTTGAGACCGCGTGAGGTCTAGTATTGAAAAGAGAGTGAACTATACCTTTGTTTAAAGTACAGAGATTGTTTAATCGTGGCAGGTTAACTGCGTAGAAACGGTGGAATCTTAGATTAGTACAAGGATCTAAGGGTTTAACCAAGAAATATACCATAGTTAGCAATAGATGTGAAGATAATTGATAAAACCTGATAACTCAAGGTGATAAAACCATACCTGTTCCTGTAATAAAAGGACCTTGAAATAACAACTTTAATGCAGAAAAGCAAGAGACCGATGCAATCTGTAAAAGCCAAAAGATGTGACAGCGTGATTTATGTGCAAGGAATAGTACGGATTATGTGTAAAGGGTATAACTTGTAAATAGTGTTTAAAAAGACTTATCTGAGTGTTATTAGGAAAGAATGTTATAGCTTGAATTTAGACACGTATGAAGTTATGAACCGTGGTGAACATTATGTTTATAACAGAAAAATACTTTAAATGGTTTAACAAGGTAGAAAAACACAGGGCTGGTAGTTAACCATATAATGTAACCGCAAACTCATATAAAGGAATAAATAATAGTAGGACTGTGATTAGAACTTATGCCAGCTTATCTTAAAAGAATAGAAATAACCGAATGTAAATTAGTAAGATAGTGTACGTGAATTAACCATACGAATAGGTTGGTGCTGAAATAACCGAACGGAAAAGTGAATATAGATAATAATGAGCTTAAACATGAAATATTTATTCGGTTGTTTCCGTACGAAAAAGCATAAAATGATAGCGAAATGAGCCGAACGTTCGTGCGTTTTTTTGGCGCGAATGGAGATATAAACGAAAGCGTGTATTCGTGAAAATGCGAAAGAGGGAGCCTACCCCTACGTTTTTAGGCCCGAACGGCGGGGAAATAGCGAACGCTAATTCCCACGCCTTGCTTACGTGAACGCGCCGGTCTCGTGACCGGAAGTCGGGTACCTCGACCGGAGGGAAACGGAGTGGAAGGACCTCGGACGGACGGAGGATTGCACAGGGCGTCTGGCTGCTGGAAACAGGTACAGTTCTGGCGGGAAGCTGGACCGGAAGTGCTGGTTGCTAAGGACAATCAGCTGAGCGGCAGCGGTGAGTAGGGGCTGGGAGCTTAAGTAGGGGACTTACTCCTCCCACAAATTCAGGCCTAATGGCCTTTCTACATATAAGAAAAGAATTCTTGGCACTCACCCTTAATATTTCAAAAACAGTTGCAGTATTGCCTGGGTGCAATCCTTAGCAAGTAAATATAAATATTAGAATATGATAGCACAAAGGTGAAGACGCTGGTCTCACAGGGTCTTCTTCAAGATCTTGAAGAAGACCCTGTGAGGGTCGAAACGTCGATTGCACATGTAACTTGCACCTTGGAATAAATCAATATTCATATGAAGACCTGTGAGTGCTCCTTTCATATTGATTTTTGCTATATATATATATATATATATATATATATAAAAAACAGTGTTGGCTACCACCTCCTCCACTGCTGTTTCCACCTACACTGCCATGGTCACCGCCTCCTCAAGCTATGGGTCACTTAGCATAAACTATGTACACAATAGCAGAGGCTTGTGAAGGCCTTTTCTCCATGCATCAGGAGTTGAACTCAGTTTGAACAATGAAAGAGAATACCCTGCAGTCCAACCCTCTCTCAAATGGATAATTCTGGTGATCCTCCCGACAGCCATGCTTTAGATTTTGATTTATGTTTTTCCAAAACTAAAATCAAAGATCCATCTAGTGCTATTTTATGACTCAGCTGTATTTTTTATTTTTATGTTATTTTAAGTGATTTGCCTATCCACATTTGTTTGCAGTGCACTTGTCCTACTCTTACCCCATTTTACTTCCTTTTGCAGCCCTCTAGCCCTTTCCAGGACTTTTTTTAGAGGCATTTTTGTGGCCAAAAGTTCACATCATAAGTTGACTTCAATGGCGTTCGGGTTCGGGGTTAAGTTCGGGATCAAGTTCGATCACGAACCCGGACTTTTTTTCAAAGTTCGGCCGAACCCGCTGGACCCGAACTTCCAGGTGTCCGCTCAACTCTAACTACAAGCAAATGTGAAGATGATTTGTCATTTAAATGTTTAATAAAAGCAAACATTCAGGTTTCCCAGTGTATGAGTCACGTTTGACAAGTTTCATCCTCTATTTCTTTGCAGTAACCCTAAAAAATACAACTGCTGATTCTGTAATTGAAGGATTCTTGATCCAAGCTCGCGATGGAAGCAGTACTACCCCAATTGGTTCTTTTCAGGTCAGCGGAAATGATGTGCAGATGCTAACTTGCACCACTGCAGCGGTACGTCCTTATACTTTCTATATGACAAAAAATAGTTTTTTGCATTTCCCTTCCTGTAGTGGTACCCAATGACCTCGGCATGCCTGGTCCTTTGCTCATTATCAATATTATTTTATTTTCTCCCCACTGCTTTGGTAAGTCTTTACTGCACCAGTGCAGGATATACATTAACTGTGGCAATATAATCCATAGGCATCAAGGTCATGTGACTTTACAAGCTCATGATGCACCTGGAGTCATCCATAAGTAAACGGTCCTAGGCTTTTTTTGTAGGAACCAGTAGGCTAAATATATTGGACATGGGTTACATTTATTGACAAACCATTTAATTGTAGATTATACTAGCTTTAGTGTAACTATAATCTTAATTTTATTAATGACAGGAGGCAAATATTTGCTTAAGTCTCTCTTTACTAGAACTCCACAGCAGCACATTAACATAGAGAGAAAAACACCAGAGACAAAAAAACTCAGGAATCCATAAAAGGCTTCTCCCAACCAACTAATTCTTCTTTCACGCTACAACAAAATAAAGTACATGAACGATACACCACAAATACAATAACAAGAGAAACAACATAAGATAACGATGAATGCCATCCAAAATTGGAAACGTGGAAACAGTGGATGAAGCCTTGACCTTTATCCTGTAGAGTAGTCGGATCTAAGAACTGTAGCCGAACCATTAAACTGAAACGAGATAAACAGTCGAAAACACTGATTAGCGAATAAAATGTACTGAAAAAAACATGAATCCCCATCGTCAATACTGACAGTATAATATCCCAGATACCGAGAAAACATGAATCCCCATCATAACATACAGACGGTACCATATCCCAGATAAACCCCAACTCCCCATATTAACAAACCTAGCCCAGGAGACCAGGAATAAACAAAAGTCAGTCAAATCAACAAACCAGGGAAGGGAGAAACTGGGAGGGAAATAGTCGCCTCCTGTCACTAATAAAATTAAGATTATAGTTACACTAAAGCTAGTATAATCTACAATTTTATAACATGACAGGAGGCTTCATATTTGCTGTTTTAACACTCGGACAGCAAAGCCCAAAGAAACACGATCCGCAGTACCAACCTAACGTAGCGAAGATAGTTCCCGTAACCGGCAGGAAAATGTACAATGTCTTGGAGAAAAACGCCTGCCATGACAGCGCCTGAAGATGCCGAGTACCGACTGAAATGAACCGAAAGGAAACTAAAGTAAAATGCCCGCAAGGAGAGCAGGGAAAAATGGAGGGAGAAGGGTGGAGGAAGGCACCTATACAGACCAGACAGAAAAAGGGGGGGGGGGGAGGTAGAAAGAGCAGGCAAGAAGAAAACACCCGCAGAAGGCACAATAGATGACTTCACCTCATGAAATAAATCCCAAAATCAACACACTATCAAATCATGAAAATCAAATCATACAATCAAATCATGGAATTTAAGTCATACAATTAAATCATTAACCTCAAATCCTAAAAGCAAGTTATACAATCAAATCCTGAAATCAAATCATGAAAACTAAATCATACAATTAAATCAAATCTTAAAAACAAATCATAAGATCAAATACAAGTAAAAGTATATATCCCACAGCCACCCATATAAAACAGGAGGCAGTGGTACTCTGACCTGTACTGACTGCGGAGCAGCAAAGAAAGAGGAATTAGTTGGTTGGGAGAAGCCTTTTATGGATTCCTGAGTTTTTTGTCTCTGGTGTTTATCTCTCTATGTTAATGTGCTGCTGTGGAGTTCTAGTAAAGAGAAACTTAAGCAAATATGAAGCCTCCTGTCATGTTATACAATTATATACTGATCAGCCACAATATTAAAACCACCTGCCTAATATGAAGTGGGAAATTCATGGATCAGATTTGTTGTTCCTGCACATCCCATAGATGCTCAATTGGATTGAGATCTGAGGGATCTGGAGGCCAAGACAACACCTTGAACTCTTTGTCATGTTCCTCAAACCATTCCTGTGGCAGAGTGCATTATATGCTGAAAGAGGCCATCAAAGAAACCCATTGCCATGAAGGGGTGTATGTGATCTGCAACAATGGCAACATCCACATGAATGCCAGGATCCAGGATTTCCCAGCAGAGCATTGGCCAGAGCATAGCACTGTCTCCGCCAGCCTGCTTTTTTCCCGTATTGAATGCTGCTGCCATCTCTACCTCAGGTAAGAACACAGAGTCGGTCATTCATCTCATATAAAGGAAATGTGATTCATCGGATCAGACACCCTTTTTTTACCTTGCTTCATGATCCAGGTTCATCAATAAGTATGGTTCATGTGGCCATGATGCAGAATCACAGATTTTCCTGCTTGCTTCACTTTTGGTAGGTTTTAACCACTGCATACCGGGACACTCCACAAGACTTGCCGTTTTGGAGATGCGCTGATCCAGTCGTCTAGCCATCACTATTTGGCCCTTGTCAAAGTCACTCGGATCTTTTCGCTTGCCCATTTTTCCTGCTTCTAAAACATGAAGTTCAAGAATTGACTGTTCACTTACTACCCCCTCTTGACAGGTGCCATTGTGACAATATAATTAATGTTATTCACTTCATGTGTCAGTGATTTCAACGTTATGGCTGATCAGTGAATATTTATTAAAGGGAGTTTGTGATGAGTAATGCATGCATGAAAGTTAATCTGTTAATAATTACATCGTTAATATTTTCCAATCTACACAGTAGTGTTTCTACAGTTATAATATAACAGTTTTTATTCCCTCCTCCCATTCCACTTGTGGTTGACAGGGGTATATCATATATGTTAGGGACCAATGTAAACAAAATTAACCCCCTCTACTGCTGAAAACCCCATCATCAATGTCTTTCTTTATGGTTCAGACCACAGAGGTAAACATTTTAGGATCCTCATTATCCTATCAAGGTTGCCTGAAGCCATTGTCAGGCATATATATTTCTGTCATTATCTAAATCAAGAGTGGTATTTAAAGGAAAACATTTACAAAAGTGTTACTTTTTATTTTTTAACAGTTTATTGTAGTTATTTTCTTTTTTTTAATGGAGGCTGTGTGAGTCACATCCATAGGATGGCTGGGGCTGTAAAAACAAATTAACTTAGCTCCTAACTCACAGAGAATTGAGCAGTGAGACTGCAGAGGCATGATCTATACACCAAAACTGATTCATTAAGCTAAAGTTGTTTTGCTAGTTAGAATATCCTTTTAAAGTTATATACTTACTACATTGTAATTCCATCTAAATTGTTTGTTTTATTCACAGAGTGCTGTGAGTCACACATCAGATAGCTCGAAAGCACAAGTACAGGTAACGTGGGTGGCACCAAACGCCAATTATACAAACCTTCTGTTCAGGTAATGGAATTAGAGAGAAATAGGCTTAACACAATCTAAGTACTAGGTATACATCCATATTAATAAATGTTAGTGAATGTCGTGCTGAAATCAGTCAAGTCAAACACATTGGGATACAGGCACATAAAGCTGACAGAACTATGCATGCACATCAAGAACTGAAAGGATCAGAAGAATAAAAAATGTCCAAATCTTTGGGCCTTTATGTGGACCTGTAGAGCCTTACCTGTCTCATTTAAATTACTGATAAAACACCTGTCCCATATTCTGATAGTTTAAGTATTAAATAAGAAAACAATGTTATATAAGTTTTATGCCCATTTGACCGATTCTGACAAAGGTTGAATATTATAGACCAGGATTAGAGAAATATAAGTTTTCATTTAGGCATTGTACACATTGCTATTATTTTTCATGTTCCTTTTTTGTTTCCTTTCATAGTTTTATTTTACACCTCTTAACCCCTGCTCACTGGCAATTGTGTATACAGTATTGTCAAGGTATGCATCCATACCCTGAAATCATGTATACACGATTTAAATAAATGCATACATGTAAATGAAATGCTGTGAGCATCCAAGAGCTGAATACAGAGAGACCGACTCTCTGTATCTTGTCCTCTGAGCTGCAACATCCTTATGGGAGAGGTAGAGGAGAAATTAGGGGGACGTTTCTTACAGAGCTAATAATGCTGCACTGTGGCCCTAAGAGGTAGGCGGGGGGGTGGGGGCGGGGAGGTCAGCCATAGCTCCTTCTCACTATCCCTATATTCACAGAGAGCATGGGAGCTGATGAACAGAGTCAAGCAGATAATCGGAGGGTGGCTGATAGAGAGCTGAGGGAGGGAAGTGTAAGGGTGCTGTGTGCTGTCAGCACACTGATTTCCCTGCTCTATAAACTACACTTCACATCATAATGGAGCAGGGAGGTAGCATGTGCTGAGAGACTGTTTGATGGCTGTTGTCAGTCTTTCACAGCACACTATCACCACTACACCACAAGGGTAAATGTGTGTGTGTGTGTGTGTGGATTTCTGACAGTGTGTGTGTGTCTGTCAGCATGTATATCTGTGTATGTGTCTGACGGTGTATTTTGGTGTCGGAGTGTGCATATATGTCTCTGATCATGTGTTTCTGTGTGTGCCTGAGAATGTGTGTCTGTTTGTGGCACTGATAATGTATGTTTATCATTTTGAAAGTTGTATTAGTGATTGTGTCTGGAATATCTGTGTGTGTATGTGTGTGTGTGCATCTAAAAAAGCAACATGGGTGCTATGATGGTTATATCATATGAGCAACATCATGGCAATGATATTATTATAATAATTATACAACACGTATACAACACTGTTTCCTTTTCTGCAACTTTATTATCTGGTAAACTATTTGTTTTACAGTTTTTCTCTCCAACCAAAAGTTGTTTTTTGTTTCCATGAAATAATGTGCTATCTATGCATACTGAAACGGAAAATACATTTAAACATTACTTTCCAGGACACCCAAAATATATTGGAGGTGTACTTTTTTTTTCAGTAAAGTTGTTAATTTTTTTCGTTTTTAATGAAGGTACAAATGTAAGACAAACTACCATATATACTCGAGTATAAACCGAGTTTTTCGGCACATTTTTTATGCTGAAAAAGCCACCCTCGGCTTATACTCGAGTCAGTGTCTGTATTATGGCAACTTACATTGACATAATACAGACCAGGACCGCCGGGCTCATTACAAGCCTGGCGGTCCTGTTGGGGGCCGTCAGCGAGCTGTTTCTTACCTTTTCAGCAGCTCCGTTCATCTCCCAGTGTAAATCTCGCGACACCCACGTCGTCAGAGTGTTGCCACGGGTCACCGTGGCAACGCTCCAAGCGGCACGGAGACCACGAGATTTACACTGGGAGATGAACGGAGCTGCTATAAAGGTAAAAAACTGCTCGCTGCCGGCCCCCCCACTGTGCAGCCCATACCACTGGACCACCAGGGATTGACATAGCCCCCCTCACCAGGGATTGACATAGCCCCCTCCCTGCCCAGGTAACAAGCAGGGAGGGGGGCTAACAAATAAAATTAAACAATTCAATATAAAAATAATAAAAATATTAAAATAAAATAATAAAAATATTTAAATAAAATAATAAAAATATTTAAATAAAATAATACAAATATTTACCCCTTAAGGACACAACTTCTTTAAAAAAAGGGAATCATGACGGAATATTTCCGTCATGTGTCCTTAATGGGTTAAATAATAAAAATACCCTCCCCCCACCCAGTTTGCACACTCTACACAAACACACAGACACTCTGCATCATATACACACACACTGCATTCACACAAACACATACTCTGCATTAGATACACACACACACACACACACACACACACACTCTGCATTATATATACACACATTGCATTCACACAAACACATTCTGCATTATATACACACACACTTCATTCACACAAACACACTCTGCATTATATACACACACTCTGCATTCACACAAACACACACTCTGCAGTATATATACACACTCTGCATAATACACACACACACTGCATTCATTATATACACACTCTACACACAAACATTCATTATATACACACTCTACACACAAAAATTCATTATATACACACACACTACACAAACACACAGCATTCATTATATACACACACTGTAAATAAATATCCAAATGTAATTTTATTGGGATCTAATTTTATTTCGAAATTTACCAGTAGCTGCTGCATTTCCCACCCTAGGCCTATGCTCAAGTCAATAATATTTTCCCAGTTTTTTGTGGTAAAATTAGGTGTCTCGGCTTATATTCGGGTCGGCTTATACTCTAGTATATATGGTAGTTCTGTTTATTTTTTTTTATTGAGGGTTCTCTTAGTTTAGATATAGAAGACCAAGTGTGACATTTGAACTCACAATTTTAACTTTTTAAGAAATGTATATAAAAACTATGCATTTTCTTGCTTACCATGACAATTATTTGAAGAAATCAGGTTTCTAAAACTAGCAAAATATTATTATAGTAATTTAGTTAAAATGGCTGCCCTATAATTAATTTCTTTGACAACGGGCTTTTGAGTGCTACACTGTTGTACTGTAATTCTATTGATGCCTTGCTAACAAAGCATTTGTTGCATAATAATATTCCTTTTTTCAGGGCTACTGTTGTGCAAAATGCAACCATTTTCTGGGAAGGTGTCGTAAGCAACAAGCTCACATACTCTGGATCCCTTCATCTGGTAAGAAATTATTGGTCTTTTAAATTACATATATACATAGCTATATAGTAATGTAGTTAGAAAATCTCAAGTCTCTTATGTTCAACCTATCACCTTATCAGCTATTGATCCAAAAGAAAGTGAAAAATCCCCTCTTGAGATGGTTTCCAACTGTGCATTAACAGGAATAAAATCCCAGTTGACTCTGGAGTGGCAATCAGATCACCCATGTATCAATATGCTTCTACTTACACCTATATTACCTACTATATACCTTATTATATTTGAACAAAAAAATCCTAAACGTTTAATATGAAATATTGTTATTATACATATTTCTTTTTTAGAATATCTAGAAAAATATCTAGTTTGCTCTGCTTGCAAAATAGCTTTTCCCAATAGACTTCAGTTCAGGATTTGCTCTGCTAAAATAATTCAGCCTTTTGTATCTTACAGGATATACACAATACATTCATTTGGGAATAATACATTTTATTATGCTTGGTGAAAGAATCTTTAACAAATGCAGGGACTTACATGTTACAGGCAATGCAACAAGGGTTAGATTAAAAAAAAAAACCCACAGACTATCATTAAAATTCACTTAAGCACAGATTGACACGGCATCTGATAAACAATGCTGTAATTCCAACAAAACCCATGGCATCATTATGTTCTTGACATTACATCATTGTTTTGTTGGTGACTGTTCAGAAGTGGGCGTGAGTGTTAAAACCCACCATAAAATTGTGGCAACATGTGAATTCACGTCACAATGCACGATGCTCATGTGGGTAATGCATTGTATATGATATGAACTTTGATATGGCATTAATGGTACCTGGGTATCTACCTGCAATGTAACCTGTACTAATCGATCCACAAAGGCTGTAGGTAGTCCATGATTTGCGCTGTACATATTTTTTTCAGTTACATTTTAATCTGTACCCATTCTTGTGTTCTCTGATCAATACAACCATTGTATTATTACTACATTTGGCTGTCTGTATTGCAGGTTCCTGCCTTTAGCCAGACGCTCCTGTGTCTCTCAGCTCTGTTCGGTTTCCTGTGCATGCTGTGATGGCCTGAGACTACTACAGAGAATAAATGACAAATCCCAGGATATTCTTCTGTACATTTGTGTATAACATGCATGTGTGTTCATTGAGAAAGATAATCAGGAATTTATCTTGCCATCAAAAATATTTCCCCCTTGACTTTTTGGCGATGTTCTATGCAATGTGTCACTTTACCACTGAGCATTCCAACATTTAAAGGGTGGAATATATCATAAGGGAAACACTACAAAGCTGTGGATAACTTCATACATAAAGCACACCTATAGTGAGTTATTGAAAGTAATGGCCTTTGCAAGGGCCACATTAAATTACAGTGATTTTTGTAAAAGATTTTTATGATTTTTTTTTTTTTAAATTAGATGCAAAATGACTAATTAGGTCATGCTGTTTTTCTAAATACAATATATACATATAAGTATCATTTTTGTCTATGATGAATATTATATAATAAAACCTTTCCTTTATTTAAGAAAAACAGTACTGCTCTTAACCACACGTGACCTGTTCATAGGAAATTAGATATGTTAAATGAGAATGTTAAGGATGCAAAGAGGGGCAAATTGGTAAGCAAAATGAATATCTAAACAACCAATGAAATAGTGACTCTTTTATGGAAAAAAGAAGCAAGAAGAAATCCCTATGCACAATTATATAACAGCTTTTTAGCATCACTCCAGTGGATATTAAAGTGTAAGCTAAGTTGCCCCGTCAAATTAAACCTCTTTAAATCATACCAATGATTTACCTTGCTGCTTTCAACTGAGACAAAAAGTGGTATTCTTATGAAAAGCTACACTCTCATTAATCTTTAATAGGATACACATGGGATGCAATTTAGAACTGTACAATGTAAATAACATATCAATACATTGAGAACTAATAGCATATTTCCTAAGGTTATTAATGGGAAATGCATAGTTAGTCATGATTCAAGATTTCCAGTACCGGACAAAAATGTGTTTTGATGCTGCTCTCTCATGTTCTGGCCTCTAAAACCCTCAATGGTCTCAAATGATTTTCAGCTCTCGGGGTTCATCAGCCAGAAGTCCACACCAGTGCTGTACCGACATGATTGAGAGGACAACACTAATGTGTATGGAGGATGCTGTGAGACCCTCTGTAGATATATCTCGATACTGAGATATTTCCTTATTCCTACCGTCATTACTAGAGATCTATCAGAAGAATAGCCCTATATTTTGTTCTGGGGCACAAAGTGATGAGGAACAGCACCCACATGGTTGTGTGATGGTCATGAGGGTACCACCTAGATACTTCATGAAAGTACAGATTTCTATTAAACTCTTCACTTTTATAAAGTGTGAAATAGGGCACTCTGTTAACTCCTAGCACACTTCAGCAAGCTAAAGTTCTTCAGGGATTTGGAATGTTCTTTTTCTGATGTTCATTGCTTATAGCAAATCCTTTTCACTAACACGGCAGTCAGACAAAATGCTACACAGTGGACATTATATATTTCAGTTTGCCTCGACTAACTCAATAAATAATACATTTAGCAGTCATTATAAGATATTACACATACTAAGGCTATAGAAACGTCACTATAATACATATACATATATTAATATTTTGAACGTAGTTTTAATGGTGCTATTATGAGAGGGGATTCTACAGGTTTGAGCAATAAAAAGAGTATTTCCAGTATGTTGCATGTGTCAGCCTGCCCAGGATCACAAAATATTTGTTTTGTACGTGTTGCTGATTACCTGGAATAATTTTACAGAAGAATCACTAGTCTAAAGTGCAGACGGCACAAATATTTCATCCTATGTGCTATCTGTTTGTATTATCAAGACTGTAACAGTGTTCCCCAACCCAGACCTCATGGACCACCAACGGTCCAGGTTTTGTCAATATCTCCATCGGAATAAAATAGGGAAATACATAAATCCTGGACTGTTGGTGGTCCCTTAGGATTTGGGACTGGATTGGGGAACACTGGCCTATACCACTCATATTATATTATATACATGTGATTAAGAAAAGTATCCAGCTAGGTCACAAAATATAGAGTAAATAATTAAACGAAAATAAAACTGTATCTCTGTAATTAGTATAGGAGAAAGGTGGTTTGTATTAGTTGTAGATACCCTAACAGTGCGGTTAGCCAAACAGGTTTGGGATGCAACCTTGGGTACATACTATGTTTGGGGCACCAATTGAACCCTTTAGTAATGCCTGTTTTGGAGAACTGAATTTCCTGGTATCAGATAGGTATACCATATACTCATGTAGAATACAACCAGAAACTAAAATAAGTTAAAGTTGATATGTTTCAAATGCAAACTCATTTTAAAAGATAAGTGTCAAATAGTTTACAAAACATTTTTTTTTTAAATAAAACACTCTTTTTGGTTAGAGTACCCTTACAGGCATGGACTCTCCAAGTTTTCCCAGCTTTTTCCATTGGGTAATGGGGCAGCAAGGAGGGGGTGTGCTATGGTTGTCTATGTGTACTGGTGACAGACACATACTATGTACAGAATTGACATTAGCAGTCAGGATCTCTCATTACAGACTGCTAATTATGTTGCCTGATTATGTTGACTTACACCTCCAGCAGCAAAGTTCTTTATTTCTGGATGTGCAGCATTTCTGAAACACTGCACATACAAGCACCATGGCCACTTCAGTTCACTGAAGAAGACACGGTGCATGGAGTAACCCTTAAACATGTTAGGAGATAGTGGACTTTGTGTCACGGTTCTCACCGTTACATCCAGACGGCCAGACGTGGTCGCTCCAGAAGTGCCCAACAGGGGATTTGAACCTGGGTACTTTCTGGTCCTGGGCCTGCTATCTACCTTTGAGTTCCTAGTCGTTGGAAATATTTCTAGTCCTGTTCATCTTGGCTTGTCTGCAGCACTGGGGCTGGACTTCATCTATTGCTGTGCTTCACCTGACTCTGATCAGTCATCAGCAGAGTATATAAACACAGCCTCGCCCTGGGAACTTTATCAAGTCTTTGATCCTGTTTATTTCCTGTGTTCCAGTCTCTTGATCTTCTACTCCATATTGACCATGGCTTCTGACTTCATTAATCCTGACCTCTGGCATCCTTTGACTATCCCTTGACTATCCTGCTGTTTATGTCCTTGTCGGTACTGCATTGGAATACTTTCCTGCAAAGCCCCGTGCACAGATTCACAGTCCAGGTGGCTTCTTATCTGGTCACCTTGGACTGTGTCTATCTGCAAGGGTGAGCATACATATCTGCGCTAAAGGCTCCCATCTCAGGTAAGACACTACAGTAGATTCCAATCGGAACTCAGCTCAAAACTTCCACTCAAATATAACATACTGGAATCAAGATGTCAATTGGAATTTGACTATAGTATTCATTGGTCCAAATGTATAAACAATGCAAAATCAAAACGGTTTTAGCCATTGCTGCTGTCCAAGAGTAGAGGGTGTTTGTACACAGGTCTAATTTGTGTTTGGCTTTTTACACTGCTGCTGCCGACCCAACATTTGTCTCATTAATAATTAATATTTGTCTTATTAATAGTTAAATTATTTTTAGGGATTGTTCTTCATGGCCAACCAGTTATTCTTTTAAATCACTCATTGGATGGAGGAGCTTCTTAAGGTTTGTATAGGGTTCCCCAAGTTGTCCCCTTGGTGCAAGTTTGGTGCATTTTGTTCACCACAGGTGGGAGTGATAAGCTGTTTTGTATTTACTGTGCCTCTATTGAGAGCCAAGATGCACAGGGCCGGCATCAAGGGTGACATTAATCTGAGGAAGGAACCCACCATGTTACAGTGGCGGATCCAGAGCCTGATCTCGGGAGGGGCACTTGTAGATTATTTAAATAAATAATCCTGGCACAATGCTACTGGCACTACAGCTCATTGTAGAAGTTATGGTGCCAGTAGTGCCAGGATCCCACTCCAGAGTAAGTAGTCATACCGTTTAAGAACAGTTTGACAACTTACCTGGGGTCTGCTGGGATATAGGGCATAGGAGAGTGGTGTGTGTTAGGGGTGAAGTGTGTGTGTGAGTGCGTAAGGGCGGCAGTGTATGTCAGGGTTGCAGTGTATGTGTCGGGCAGTGTGTGTGTGTGAGGGTGGCAGTGTGTATATGGGGGGCACTATATGTCTGTGTGGGGCAGTGTGTGTATGGGGAGCACTGTATGTATGGGAGGGCACTGTGTGTATGGGGGGGCACTGTGTGTATGGGGGGGTCGTGTGTGTGTGTGGAGGGGCAGCAGTGTGTGTAGGGCACTGTATGTGTCTGTTTGTGTATGGGTGTGCAGTGTGTGCATGTGGGGCAGTGTGTGTATGGGTGTGCAGTGTGTGTATGGGGGCAGTGTGTGTGGGGCAGTGTTTGTGGGGCAGTGTATATATGGGTGTGCAGTGTGTGTATGGGGACAGTGTTTGTGGGGCAGTGTATGTATGGGGCAGTGTTTGGGGGCAGTGTGTGTATGGGGACAGTGTTTGTGGGGCAGTGTGTGTATGGGGGGCATGTGTATGGGAACAGTGTTTGTGGGGCAGTGTGTGTATGGGGACGCAGTGTGTGTATGGGGACAGTGTGGGGGCAGTGTGTGTATGGGGACAGTGTTGTGTGGGGCAGTGTTTGTGTGTGTATGGGGACAGTGTTTGTGGGTGTGCAGTGTGTGTATGGGGACAGTGTTTGTGGGGCAGTGTGTGTATGGGGACAGTGTTTGTGGGGCAGTGTGTGTATGTGGGGCAGTGTGTGTATGGGGACAGTGTTTGTGGTGCAGTGTGTGTATGGGGGCATTTTGTGTAGTGTTTGTATGGGGGTGTTTGTGGGGCAGTGTGTGTATGGGGGCAGTGTGTGTGTATGTGGGGCAGTGTGTGTATGTGGTGCAGTGTGTATGGGGGCAGTTTGTGTAGTGTTTGTATGGGGGCAATGTTTGTGGGGCAGTGTGTGTGTGGGGGGCAGTGTGCGTGTATGGGGACAGTGTTTGTGGGGCAGTGTGTGTATGGGGGGCAGTGTGTGTATGGGGACTGTGTTTGTGGGGCAGTATGTGTATGGGGGACGGACGGAGGGAAGGGAGGCTTTTTAATAAATAAATAAAAAAAATTATTAAATAAATTAAATATATTTATGTCCCCCCTCCCTTCTTACCTTTATTGAGGAGGAGGGGGGACATATTCCATTCCCTGGTGGTCCCAGTGGGAATCCCTGGTGGTCCAGTGGTTACAGTGAAACCTAGCCCGCACTCCAGGGCTAGAGTTCACTCTTGCGAGATTTGGAGCGTTGCCGTGGTAACCGCGGCAACGCTCCAAATCTCGCAAGAGGAGGACCCGGAGGAGCTGCAAGCTGAGCTCCCGGGTCCTCTCTCCTCCCTCTCCCTCCCCCCGCTGGACCTGCTGCCAGCACAGTGCCTGTGGACCGGGGGGAGATCACTGATCTCCCCCCGGTCCGCAGGCACTTTGCAGGGCTGGCACTTGGGCAATGCCAGCCCTGCATTAGCCAGCAGAGGAGAATTTTTTTGGGGGGGGGGGCAATTGCCCCGTTGCCCCCCCCCTGGATCCGCCAATGTCATGTTATGGGTCCTGCATGTACAAGGCTGCATTACAGAACTCCAGTCCATTACTGGATTGCACTGACAGCCCTCTTTTCACTTCTGCGTGGCAGCACTGGGAGAAAGTGATACCAGCTCTCTTACTTTCAGCACACATACAGTGGATGCCATGTGGCAGAGGAGTAGAGCAAATCAAATTGTTTTCCCAGCCCACATTTCTTGTATTAGACAAATCCCCAGTGGACCACCAGGAAACCAGTTGCCAGCGGCAAAAAGTAGAATGGCCAAATAAAACAGTTTCAAGGTGTATTTA